AACATACACAGACACATACAAACATACATAAAACTACATACACACATATCCATTCATATATGTAGTTTGCTGAAATCGCATATATCTATAGCTTGATCCAGGAGATAAATGCTTTCAAAAAATAGCTCGTTCCAGGAGATAAATGCTCTCAAAAAAAGCTTTTTGAAACGAATATTTAAGTGTAATAAGCCATTATTTTTGGATTTTTAGACAAAGCCAAGTTCAGGGTGCAGTCTAAAGCCCTAGTCACTTGAAAAAAGCAAAAAAAAAACCTGTAGAAGTTCGCCGCCACGGCCACATTTGTAAAGCTCTTTGGTTTTCCAGTTCAGTGTTACAATATCACCGTTATGATTCAACAGGGCCATACCAACGGTGCTACATCCTTTGATCCCATCACCATAGATATCATTCAAAAATTCACCATTTTCATCAAGCATTTTAACTAAAAAAAAACAAAATTTAAAAAATCAGAAAAAAAAGCAGCTAATGAAGAAGGTCCAGTTGCACTGCTCACGATCGAAGGACCTGGCATAGTTGCGCATTTCAGTGTAACATCACTAACATGGGATACCCACACTGCCGATAGCCCAGGAGATCCGGGTAATCTTGATGATTTGGCCTAAAATGGCTTTTTTTTTGTGTTTCTAATAATATTTTTAGCATAATTGTTCGACAAATCCCTCTTCACATTACCCCAAAGTAGATTCCAAGTTCAAAACCGCTCTCTTCTCCTTCAGAATTTTTTTTTTTTCAAAAAGAAATATAACTTACTTCGATTATTTCCCGTATCCAAGATATAAATCAGTCCTTTTGCATCTTGGCATATTTTGACTGGTTGATTGAGCTGCTCATCAGCGATACCTTGCGATCCAAACTGCCATTTTGGACAATGGTGACAGCTTACATTCACCACAAATGGATAATCTTTGATTAGTCGACCAAAAATTGAAACACGCACCGAGTATTCACAGTCTTCATATGCTCTGAAAAATACATATTTGACAAAAAAAATTAAAAATACGAAAATTCCCTTTCGGATAATCAATATGGATATCCCCGAAGGTATAGGGGTGACAAGGAAAATCCTCGTAAAATTTCAGCTTCTTAGCTTTTCTGGTTGCTGAGTTGAAAATGGTACATACATACACATACAGACACGCAACGTCCCATACACACACGGACACACACATGTACATTCACATTAACATACAGGCATAAACACAAATAGATATACGGACATACACAAACACACAAAAACATACACATGTACATACAAATC